AGAGAAAGAATGAGAGAAATTTGAATGCTTGGTTGCGCACACTACATAAAACACTTAAGAAAATAAAGTGCAATTTGTTGGTTCCATCTTATCTGTTACTGGAGGGACATTCTAGATATGACAAATTTAATAAAATATAGCATCAAGATAAATGACTTTGGGGATATATTTGTTTCTGGATGTCATTGTTTACTCATATTTAATGAACATTAACAGGATAAGATAGGATGTGGTGAGGACCAGATCAGAAAATTTTATTTTCTCTTTCTTTTCTGGTTATCTTTTTTATACAAAGATAAAAGTGTGAAGCAACTGAAGTGTAAGGCTTATAAGAGACTCGTATTCGCAGAATTCCTTACTCGCAAATTTCTAATTTAAGCTGTGTTTGGGGGCAGCAGTATTTTCAGGCATTTGATGAAGTCGTGTTTTGTCTATTTTTTCAAAAAAATAGAGGTGAGAAGCTGTATTTTACAACTTGACCTAAAAGTGTGATCTAATATTTTTTAAAAAAATAAATTTGTTATAACGCAATAATTTTTCCTTTTGCAACAGTTTCATAATTGTTTTTTCGAATATTTACTGTTAATTGTCACTGGAAGTGTGTGTTAAGCACACTTTAATTATTAATTTTCAATTTAATTGTGAGTGTAGCTCAATTTTAAAAAAATATAAAAAAATGAAGCAACTAAACATGTGGTACAAACAAGGGGTTATGAACCATGGAAGAGCCCCAAAAGGTACAAGTTCCTCTTGCATCAAATTAGTACTAAGAAAAAAAAGTTATATCTAAATGGTACAATAGGTTGGGCGTCATTTCCATTTTTTCAAAAAAATTTAAACTTTTTAACTATTTTCGTTTGATTTGTTTTCCCAGTAAGGAGCTAGTCTCCAATAACTGATTTCCTGAAAAAAGCTACTCCTTTGAAACAAATCCAAAGGTGTAGGTGTATGACACAAATTCTCCTTATTAGACCAAGCTCCAGTCAGCTTGATCAACTCCGATTAGCCTGGCATTCTCTAGTCGGCCTTACCAACTTTGATTAGCCTGGCATGCTCCAGTTAGCCCGTATGCATCAGTCAACACAACATGCTACAATCGGTCCACCATGCTCCAGTCGATTGACCAACTTCATTCAACCCGACCAGCTCCAATCGGCCTGACTAGCTAAATTCTCTAGTCAACACAGTCAACCAACTCCAGTTAGACTTATCCAGCTGAATCATCAGTTTATAATAATCTATCTATAAAATAAAGAAGCATTATTTGTAATAAGGAGGAACCTAATATGACAATTGTTTCTACTGCGGCTCTATTTATTGGGTGTGATTTACGTTGAGAGCGTGTATCATGTCACAAACAAGAAGAGAAACAACACAATGAGAGAAACCTAACCATAGAGAAGTCATTAGAAAAACAATAGAGAACTCACCTGACAGAATAGTCAAACTCATCCATTTGACTTTGCCAGTTAAATTCATAAGTCATCCCAATCGACCAGCTCCTTTTAGCCCGACGAGATCTATTCGGCATGGTCAACTCCATTCATGTAAAGCAGCTCCATTTGGCCCAATCAGCTCCAGTTAGACCGACGAGCTCCATTCAGCTCGATGGGTTCCAATTGGCCCGAATGGTTATAGTTGGCCCGCCAGCTCCAGTTGGCCCGACCAACTCCGGAATAGGATAAATCTTCAAAATAATCAAATTTGAAAAAACTTTTTGTAATACGAAGGTTTAAAAAAATTTTAAGGAATAAAAATGTATTATAATATTATGTTTTAATTAAAAAAAAATGTGTTTATTAAACGTGGTTTAATCTCACATTTTATCTTGAAAAAATTATCATAATATTATGTTAAATTAATTATCAATATATTTTATTAAAAGAATTTAAAATTTTATTATAATTAGGTAGGTAATTTTTTTTAATTAAACAATTTTTAATTAAAGTATATGATGATTAAGATAGAAGAATCATTATAATATTATATAGCCATCATCTATAAAATTAAAATGAAAATTTTTAATTAAATGATTTACTTTATAATTTTATTATAAACTTTTAACTTTAAAAATTAAAATTAGTAGATAATATAAATTACTATAAAGTTATATTTAATGATATTTTAAAATAAATAATTTATTTAATGAACTACAATAAACAAATTCTTATTTTAAAGCTTATAATTATAAAATTATGTAGATTAAGGAAAAATTAGTATTAAATTATCAGAATATTAATTAATTGAATTATTAAAAACTTATATTAAGTAATGAATTAAATGCAAATAATTGTCTTTAATTAATTGATTTATTTTTCTTAAGTTAAATGTGATCTTTTAATTATTGGAATGCTGCATTTTCGGATACATCTTATTAAATATTTGATGATAAGTGTCGAACAAAATCAGGACCTGTAATTTGTAATACTCGAATAAAGGGCACCAGATTGACCACTCACATGCGCTTCGTACATGACACAAGGTCTCAAGTATCGTCAATATTACTTGATGGAGATTTGATGCTCTATGACATGTTTCTAATGAGGCTATGCTCAGTAGTGCTTATGCTGCTGGTGAGTCATCTTGTTCTTGGGTAGAACTACAACTAGCACAACGACAACCTTCTGTACCTACAGCCTCGCCCATCCCTGTATAATAATTAAAGGAAATCATAAGTTTATTAAAAGATTGTGTTATATGATAGTTTACTTAAATAAGAAAATCAGTTAATTTAAAAATTATTTTACATATAATTCATTAATTAATTTAATTTTTAAATAATTTTGTTTAACTAATATCTACATAATTTAAGACTATTTTTTCCCTAAATTTACATAATTTTATAAATATGCTTTTTAACTTAAGAATTTATTTATTATAATTAATTATAAAACTTATTTATTTAAAAATAATTAAATATAACTTTCTAGTAATTTATATTTTTAAATTAGTATGATTTTTAAAATTAAAAAATTAGTAATAAAATTATTACATAGATCATTTAATTAAAAACTATCATTTTAAATATATATGAAACCGAATATAATAATAAAATAATTCCTTGAGCTTAATTAATATATTATTTAATAAATAATTTTTTTAATTAGAGCAAATTGGAACCAAGTATAATATTATAATAAATCTTTAAATTCTTTTAATATAATAAAAAAAATTTGTTTTAAACTTACTATTATGATACGTTTTTTCTCCTTTTATTATTTTTTAACCCCTCCCCATTACAAAATGTTCTTTCAGATCTGCACATTTTAAAAAAATTTGTTTGCCAAAATACTCCCAAGGAGTGAAGCCGAGCAACAAAATAAAACTAACAGGAACATTTTCGTATTTATCTTTTTTTCTTACTTTATCACTGTGAATATGTCATAAAACTCGAGGAACTTGCCTCTCACAAGCAAGTTTTAAGAAAATAAAATGAAATTGCCAAAACTTTTGGACCCTACTGGGCTCAGTAGTTGATGTTAGGGATGACTTTGGAGAAGCTCTTTCCAAAATATAACTCAGCCGAACAAAGAATGAAGTCAATCAATCTATTGAAGAGCTACGGCTCCCACGCAAATGATAGTCTAAATTTAACGAAATTACTTGAATTTCTTTATAACCGAGTTATATTAAAAAGGAACGGCCAATCTATTCACACAAAAAGATGAGACTTCTTTCACTGGTGACACTTGGGGAACTCTCCTTATAAGACCAAGTCAACTATAATTGTAAATAGTCGACACAAAAAGGAACCCCACTAATTTCTACTTTGACAGTTTTCCAACTTATATCATGCACTTCACTTTTAGAGAAGGATAGTTTTAGTTTTATATTAATCATTTTCTTTTCTTTTTTTTTTTTTTTTTTGCATGTCTTTCAAAAAGATAAGAGTATTGGAGAACTAATATATATGACGAAAATTCTCATTCAAAGTTTAAGGTGTTGAGATTATCCAAAAAAACTGTCGAACTTGACCAAGCTCCACTTGGCCCTGCATGATCCAATCGACAGGGCATGCTCCAGTCTGCCCGACCAACTCTAATCGGTCTGACCTACAGGGCATGCTCCATTCGACCCAATCAACAAAATTAGTCAGTCTTCCCAATTCACTAGATCCTACCGGCCTTCTCTAGAAGACTGAATAAAACTGAGCATATAAGTCTGACCTGGTCCATTCGACCCAATCAACAAAATTAGTCAGCCTTCCCAATTCACTAGATCCTACCGACCTTCTCTAGAAGACTGAATAAAACTGAGCATATAAATGTCATTTTACAATAATCATTCTCATATAAATAGAGAAGTACTATTTATATTAAGGGGAACCTAAAATAACAACGATCTTTTTAATGTTCATCTCTCTCTCTCTCTCTCTCTCCCCTCTGCCCCTCCCTATTTACGCTTTATTTTTTGGGTATAATTCACAGACAACTTCGAATTCAACGGCAGGAGAAAAATTTTTAATAGAAAAGTGCAAAAATTATACCTTGGCTATTTATAGAAGATATTTTAGTCCTAGAGTCTAAAGATTTCTAAATTAATCTCTAAACTCTTTTAGTAGAAGATAAAATAAAGCTCCCTTTAATCAAGTTTAGAGACTTCTTTGTCCTATATGATAAGTATGAGAATTAATTTTGCACTTCTAGTCATTTTAGTCCTCCCAAATTCTATAAAAGTGCCAAATTAATCCTTAGACTCTTTAAATTATGGCCAAAATAGTCCTCTTTGAGGACAAAGAGGAGTATTTTAAGCCAAATTAAAAAAATCAGGAACTAAAATCACACTTTTATAAAAACTAAAATGATCCCTTCCAAAGCAAAGAGCCAGAAAACTATTTTAACACTTCTCTCAATTCCTAATACTGCCTCAAGATTAAATTTAATCAATGAATACTTGGCAACACAGCAGAACTAAGGTAAGATTTCATTTGGTTTCAATCCCAAAACAACAGAACACTCGACCTACATAATGAACAAGCTGTTTAACTCATTAAAAACCATAAAGATTGAACTTCTTAGTATCACGAAAAACAATAGTTTTAGTAACAAGAAATGCTCAGAATGCATTATTATTGCCCCAAAGCCCATACCGAACACCTTAAATTAAACTCTCCTCAAGATAAGCGTGCAGAATAGAACCCTATTTTCAGGATTCAAAGCCAACAACATAACCAATACAAACTCACAGAGATCTCGCCACAGCAATGACATTCTCTGCAGTCAATCCAAACTCCTTATATATTCTCCCCGCCGGTGCACTCGCCCCAAACCTATCAATCCCAATCGCTTTCCCCTTCTTTCCGACATATCTCTCCCACCCAAACGTCGACCCGGCCTCGATGCTTATCCTCGCATAAACTGCCTTCGGAAGCACACTCTCTCTGTACTCATCAGACTGCTCCTCAAACAATTCCCACGAAACAAGCGACACAACCCTCACCCCCTTCCCCTCCTTCCTCAGCTCCTCCGCCGCTTTCGCGGCCGTTTCCAACTCCGACCCAGATCCAATGAGGATAAGATCAGGCTTATTCCCTGAAGAGTTGTCTGAGATTATATATCCCCCCTTCTCAACTCCTTCCAATGAAGTCCCCCCAAGCTGAGCGAGTTTCTGGCGTGAAAGAGCGAGGATGGACGGCCGCTTCCTGTTGAGAACGGCGACCCTGTAGGCCCCGGCGGTCTCATTTCCATCCGCCGGCCGGAGCATCAAGATGTTCGGCATCATCCGAAAGCTCATTAGGTGTTCGATGGGCTGGTGCGTGGGACCATCTTCTCCGAGTCCGATGGAATCATGAGTCATGACAAAGATGACTCTAGCCTGAGATAATGCGGCGAGCCTGATGGCAGGTCTCATATAGTCCGTGAAGGCGAAGAAAGTGGCGCAGTAAGGGATGAGGCCGGGACTATGGTGCGCGATGCCGTTGCAGATGGCGCCCATCCCATGTTCCCTGACGCCGAATCTTATGTTCCTCTCTTGAGGGGAGCTGTTTTGGAAGTCACCATGCATCTTCAGCAATGTCATGTTGGAGGATGCTAAATCAGCACTGCCCCCTATAAGTCCGGGAAGAACTTGCTCCAGTGCGTTAAGACATTGCTGAGACAGATTTCTCGTCGCGTCGGCAGGGCTTTCCGGAGTATATGCCTGTCAAGTCGACAAAATGTCAACGATAAAGATTGAAAATCATCAAAATCGCCATTTTTATCCTCGTTAACTATTGCATGAGGTTATCAACTTGTGCAGTTGTGCATCTTCGCTGTAAATAATACATCATGCCCAAATCACCGAAGTCTGATTTTGATTAATACATCATAAAAAAGAGTCCTGCACCGAAATATTACTTTGGAAGATTTACATACATGCCACTCAATTCTTTTCTATTCAAGTATCTAGCACCTAAACTTCAACTTTTACTTACATGCCACCTATGCAAGAAAAGGGGTATTTCACTTTTTAAAAGTTAAATCTGATATGAAAGATTTGGATGGTATAAATGTAAAAATTTAAAGTTTAGGAGTTTGATATGTGAATACATAAGAATAGGGTGGTATGGATGTAAATGCCCCATTGTATCTATTAATTGGAAATTAACAATTTTACATTCATTAAAATTATATATCATATTCTCAGAGTTTGTTCACTTAAATCCTAAACCCCTTTCCCTTCCTTGCCATCTAGCAACGTAAAAAAAAGGAAGATTTACCTAGATACCACTTAATTCCATGTATTAACACATCTAACACCTGAACTTTAATTTTTACATATATGCCAACCTTCTTTATGGATGATGTGGTGTATTTTACTTGTTAAAAGTAAATTAAAATTATGATTTTTTTACGTGATATATGAAAGATTTGGATGTTATAAATGTAAAAAAGTGAAGTTTAGGTGTTAGGTATGTAAATACATAGGAACTCGGTGTTATGTATGTAAATGCCACTATAAAAAATCATTAATGCATCAAAGTAAAATCAACATTGTTTTTTGCTCACCGGAAAAGCCTTCTCCCATTCAACGGGCAAAGCTCCTGAAATTATACCCTTCAAAATAGTCGCATCCTCTCTATGCTTCTTCTCATACTCTGCGAACTTAGAACTCCATTCAGACTCACGAGCTGCACCATCAGAGATATGCCGGCTCCAGTAGCTGTAAGAAGCCAAAAGTAAGGCTTGTGAGTCTCAGTTAATTTAGTTAATGAGAACTTTAAAGTTACTGCCCTACAAATTTGTCTTTTAGCACTCAAATTTAGTATTATTGCATTTTGTTTTGTTGTCGGATAATGTGATTGACAGTTCGATAAAATTATTATTTAAAGTGTTTATATGAGTTGTAAATATTTGATAGCATGGCACTGATAGGAGTGGTTGAACAACTAAAATAAACATTGTTACAAATTCCTGATAAGTAAAATGTGATAAACTATTCATAATTTGTATATAATAACTTCATTTATTTCTCTATTTGTTTATCAAAAAGAACAAGTATATATCATAAGAACACTTTTTCAAGAAGCCACCTAAAGAACCTTGTAACTGTTCACGGAAGCAAAAAATAGGCAATCTGTGTAGCGCACCGATACTTCTAAATATATGATACATCCGTGTCGGGCATGTATCAGACACTGACACTTGTCTTACACGCCCCGACATTTCTCCAATATATGTTTTGAGTTTTTTTTCAGGCCCGAACACATCCGGGACCCCTCAACATCAAATCGGACGTGAGCTTAACACAATTTTGAGAAAATGGGAAATGGGAATTAGAAAATTATAAATATGCGTATAGCCATAATTATTTCTCACAGTCGAAACCGTCCGGTCTCTCGTCATGTTGACGCAACCTCTAACATTCGAGTATAGCCATAATTATTTCTCACAGTCGAAACCGTCCAGTCTCTCGTCATGTTGACGCAACCTCTAACATTCGACAAAATCGAGCATCAAAGAAGCATCCAATTGTGGATGTCGAGCATCATTAATTCCTTCTTCGTAATCATAGGATTTTTGAAATTTTAGTAGATAAGTTAAATTATAAATTGGAGGAATTCTTTTAAAAATTAATCTTCATAAGCATTAGGTTTTATAATATAAATTAAATTGATGAAGTTAAATTTTATTCTAGCATAATTTGTTTAGTTATATTTTTAATAAAGAATAATAAAAAATATATATTTTATATTAATAATTAATTAAATATAAAAACGTGTTCATGACGTGTCGTGTCCTATTTTTTTCAATAATGTTGTGTCCTTGTATCATGCCGTGTCATAGTCATGTCCCTGTGTCCATGTCATTACTGCAAAGCAGGCAAGAAAAGCAAACCTTTTAACATCCTCAGGCACATGGAAAGGATCATAAGGCCATCCAAGGTTTTTCCTAGTTGCTTCAACTTCCTTGGCACCCAATGCACTTCCATGCGCACTGTATGAGTTCGCCTTGTTCGGTGATCCATAACCAATGGTGGTTGTAAGCTGCCAAAATAGCAGTGAGGGATATGTATTTCGATATCAAACACTAACAAAGAGCAAAACTAAACACAATGTGATATGCAATCTTAGAAAGTAACACAATTAAAATGTTCAAAGAGAACGAAAAGGACCTTTATCAATGTGGGCTTGTCTTTGACAGCTTTAGCTTCCTTGATTGCGGTACGAATCTCATCATAGCCTTTGTTGCCATTCTTTACCCAGATAGTGTGCCATCCAAGAGCATCAAAGCGAGCATTGACATCCTCAGAGAATGCGATTTCTGTGTCACCATCAATGGAAATATGATTGTCATCATAGAAAGCGATCAATTTCCCAAGACCCCAGTGGCCAGCAAGAGAGCATGCTTCGTTCGATACTCCCTCCATTTGGCAGCCATCGCCGAGTATAACATACCTGAAGAAACATAACGGTCATTTGTAGGACCCAATGTCTCATATAAGAAGAACAAAAGCAATAAGAGTAATGTGTCAAAAAAGTCGCCTAAGAGTAAAGTGTCAGACCCTATGTGTCGCAGAAGAAGAATAAATCTAATACAAGACTAAGAATAAAGTGTTAAATGTGGTTATCTTAGTCCAAGAGTTGATGAAAATGTCAAATTAATCCCTATTCTTTTTTAATAGGGGCTGAAATACTCATTGGGAACTTGTTCAACCCATATTAAAAGATTGGAATATTTACATACGCAGCACCCAAAACTTGCATATTTACCCATCTTGCATCTAAACTTCAATTTTTACCGCAAAAGCACCTTATTTATGCATGAAAAGTGTACTTAACTGCTCCCACTGTGTGAAAAGGATAAGTTGGGAGTTGCGTCCGTGCGGGGTAGGTACATAATATTTGAGTCATGTTATGAAATTTATGGCAAAAACAACGCAAATACAGAAGAAGAACATAGAGATTTAACGAGGTTCGGCAAAGATGCCTACATCCTCGGGAGCAGAGTGGCGAATTTCACTATTTCAGAGGAGTTACATACCCATAGGGTTACACATCGATTTATAGATAAAACCCACAGATAATTACAAACACGTCATTGCTCCCCCCAACTCACTAATCCAAGAGACACAACTCTTCACACCAAGAAACACGCCTCTTCATTCTAGGAGACACCTCTCCAAATTCAAGAGACTCCAAATTCCCGATATATAAGCCATGCCTAACAAGTCATGTGTATGTAAATTCTCCTAAATGATTATGATGACTAAATCGACATTTTATATATCATGGGACTAAAAGACCCACTGTAAAAAAACAAAAAAAAAATTACCGGACCCTTTTGACACTTTTTCGATCTAATAATAACAGTTGAGAAGAAAGGACTACAAAACTATTACGTGTAATGGTCAATGATCTCCAAATCAGGTTTATTGAAGCGGGCGGCTAAGTGTTTCTCAGCAAGCGCTAATCCGACAGCATTTGCAATACCCTGACCAAGAGGACCTGAAGCACAATGGCATAGCATGTAACATCAAGGAGAATATTGAAAAAGAATTATTTACAGAACAAGAATAGTCATGCATAGTTCAGTTGTACACACAAATTGCTTACCAGTGGTGACTTCGATGCCCGGAGTTTCAAAATTCTCAGGATGACCAGGAGTTTTACTTTGCCACTGTCTGAAAGCTTTCAAATCCTCATCCTAAAGCATCATAATAAGAATCATCAATTCTAGAAAAGCAAAAAGGGAAAGGAAGGTTTAAGCAATTCTTTTAAAGGCATATCAGCATTAAGTTTTAAGCATGGTTTTCAAATCAAACCCAATGCCAGATTGGAAGGAGAAAAAGTTCTGAGGTTGAACGGGGTTTGAAATTCATTAAAAAAAAAATAAAATATGACTTAAAATGAAAAAATTATTTAAGAACTAACAATAAATTTTATAATATTGTTGAGAAATCTGGGCGAAGAAAAACAGTAATCGACACAAATACAGAAGACCACGTAAAGATTTACGAGGTTCGGCAAAGATGTCTATATCCTCGGGAGCAAAGCGGCGACTCCTTTTTCAATATTCAGAAAAGAGTACAAAATACAAGATTCGGAATCTCAGAAACTCGAAGACTCATCTAGGATTACAAATAGGACATATATATAACCGTATAGTATAATATGTAATTACTTAAATTACCTCTATACTAAATCGCGGGGTGTTGCCCCGATACTCCCAACCAACATAATGAAACTCTCCTGATTTGACAGATCTTTCCGCTCCACTACGCTCGTGGGCTCCGCTCCGCTCCAGCATCTGTCTCATTTATAATATATGAATCATGCTCAACAAATCTCCACCTTAACGAATATCCAACTCATTAGGAGAAATATATATATCGAACAAATCTTCACATTGGCGAATATCCAGCCCCTTAGGGGAGAGAAATTATTGCGTACGGACACCGCATGCAGAGAGCGCATGCAGAGAGCTGCATGCAGTGTCTGATCCTGATCGTAGATCATAGTGATCTACGGTCAGGATAAATTTCAATTTTTTTTTTAAAAAAATTTAGATGGGGCCCACCGAAATACATCTTGACCGTAGATCAGGTGATTTACGGTCAGAATCGGACACCGCATGCAAGATAAGATGCGGGGGGTGCCCGTCCGTATGGAATAATTTTTCCTTAGGGGAATACATATGCCCAACAAATTTCCATCTTGGCGAATATCCAGTCACTTATGAGAAAATACATCATGGATTTTCTTATGCACCGATGTGGGTTGAGTTACAAATCCTTTTAAATAATCTCTTAATTAAGTTTTCAAAAAAAAAGACTTCCCCTTAATTAAATTTTCCTATAGTACAATACGTAATTACTCAAATTATCTCTATACTAAACTCTGGGGTGTTGCCCCCGCACCCCCAACACACATAATGAAACTCTCCCGATTGGACAGATCCTTCCGCTACACTCCGCTCGTGGGCTCCGCTCCGCTTTCCTTCCAGAAAGAAATCTTTCTTTTCCCAAGTGCAGCATTAGATTCTCTTTCCTTGCCTTTCCTATGTCCTGTAAAATCTCCGCGTGCAGCAAAATTTTTCTGGTTAATAGTAGAAAATTTATTTTATTGTCTCTAGAGAAATCTGGAAAATATCCCTTCCAAATTTTTTCTCTACAACAAAAGAATAAAATCAGAACTTATTTCCTTCTAATTTTCTTCTCCGCCTCCCGCAAAGGAATAAAATCAAAACTTGATTTTTCTTCCAATTTTTTTCTCCGCAATAAAATCGGAATTTGATTTCCTTCCAATTTCTTCCGCCTCCAACAAAGGAATGAAATTGGAGCTTCAAATTTTCGCCTCTGCTCCAGGCTGGCGTCGAACCTTTCTTTTCTGCCTATAGCGACTTCGCCTGGCGCTGAAACCTCTCGTCAAACCGAAGCCCGTCCGAACCGTCGAAGCCGAAGCCGCGATTCCTCTGTCGCGATCGCGAACGCCGCGATTGCTGTCGTGATTCCTCTATAAATCTCGCTGATGCCTTCCTGTGTTTCTGCCTAGGGCTGTCAAAAAAGCTTGTTGTTCGCAAACAGCTCGTGTTCGACTCGTTAAGTAGCTTGTGTTTGGCTCGTTCGTTAAGTGAATAAGTTGAACATGAACAAGTTTTTAAAGCTCGAATTATAAACGAGCCGAACACGAATAGCTCTTTGTTCGCTCGTGTTCGACTCGTTTTAGCTCGAAATAAAAAAAAATTATATAATTATTTATATAAAAATATTTTATACATATTATTTATATAATAATATATTAAACATATTTATATCTAAGTTTAAATCGTAATTGCTCTTGTGGTAATGTGGTTATGCACAGTTTTGCATACATTTGGTTCAGGTTCAGATCCAGCATTTTACAATTATTTTTTCAGTTTAATTTTAACGAGTCAATTTTGAGCCGAACACGAGCTGATTTTGAACACAAACAATTTCAAAGGAGCCGAACACGAGCCCAGCCTGAGCTCGCTTAAGCTCAGCTCGTTTACAACCCTACCTCGAAATTAAAAAAATTATATAATTATTTATATAAAAATATTTCATACATATTATTTATATAATAATATATTATATATATTTATATTTAAGTTTAAATCGTAAGTGTTCTTGTTGTAATGTGGTTATTCACATTGTTTTGCATACATTTGGTTCAAGTTCGAATCCAGCACTCTACGTTTATTTTTTCAGTTTAATTTTATATAACGAGTCAATTTCGAACCGAACACTAACACGAATATTTAAATCGACCCGAACACGAACACACTGTTCACGAGCCATTTTCGAACATGAGCCGATTTCGAACACAAGCCGATTTCGAACAAGCCGAACACGAGCCCAGCCTGAGCTCGTTAGGCTCGGCTCATTTACAGCCCTACCTCTGCCTATCTCGCTGACGTCTTCCTGCACCGACTCCTCTAAAGCTTTGTTGAACTCCTATTGTCTGCACACGTCAGGTGTCGCACTTGAAGCCTTCGCGGAAAACCCCTTCTTGCCAAACCGTCTGAAGCCCTCTTCATCTTCGAACTTCCTCTGCTCCGAAATCCGAACTGCCGCGAACCTTGCCGAAATCCTTCCCTAGCCGCCAATCTCATCTGCCAAAATATTCTTTATTCTTGTGCCGCTCAAATTTTTTTTCTCTGCCCTCAAACCTCGCTCTGATACCACTTATTGAGAAATCAAGGCGAAGAAAAACAGTAATCGACACAAATTCAGAAGAGCACGCAGAGATTTACGAGGTTCGGCAAAGATGCCTACATCCTCGGGAGCAGAGCAGCGACTCCCTTTTCAATATTCAGAAAAGAATACATAATACAATATTCAGAGCCCCTGAGACTCCGAGAGCTGAATCTTGTATTCAATATTCTTTTCTGAATATTGAAAAGGAAGTCGTTGCTCTGCTCCCGAAAATATAGACATCTGTGTCTAACCTCGTAAATCTCTGTGTGTTCTTCTGGATTTCTGATCATTTCATATTTTTCTTCGCTCTAATTTACGATTTCGTGTTTTTCTTCGCTCTAATTTCTCAACAAATATAAATACTGATCATTTCATATTTTTCTTCGCTCTAATTTCTCAACAAATATAAATCGATTTTAATATGTTTATTAATTTATGTGACTCAATTTTAACAGTCCAGCCTAATTTATCATTTCTACAGCCATTTACATAAGATATTTAGTCACGCATTACAACGGAAAAGTTAACATTGTAAAATTTAAATGGAAAAGAAAGAGATTCATAGTTGGAACATATAGCTCACTTAGTTGCGGGGTATTTCTGTTTTTAAGTTTGCATGTTGTTCAGATTTTTCCATCAAGTATGGAATTTTTTAAATATTGTCAGAAAAATATTTAAATTTAAAATATTATATTTCAAGAGAAAAAAACTCGTTCATTTGCAACAGTTGGATCACTGATTAACTGCAATTAAAAACATAAAATGAACTAGGTGGTTTTACAAAACTGTCGGTTTGACGACTCATTGTTAGACCGCAGATTCTAACAAATTCCCAAGGATTTCATGCAATGGCGGTTCCCATAAGCTGATCGGACCAACAATATGATGGGTTCATAGTTGAACCACATCAGTTCACAACCGAATCCACTAGTCAAGTCCAGTTTTAACAACCCTAGATTTAAGCGAAAATGTTGTTATAAATAATATTAGAGAATAAAGTGATACGTTTCTACGCAAAAATCGGCATGACTTTCCATAGAAATTAAGGTAAAGTTATTTTTCTTCTTTAATACTCCAAAACAACACAAATATTAAGATAAGCACCAATGATTTGAGAGGTAAGTGATCTCTCTCAAATCCTACAATTGGAGAGATAGGAAATCTCTCCCAAACCCTAGCCCTAAGACCCCAAGAGAGCAATTCTCATGCATACCACAATATACCCTACAATAATAAATAATAAAAAAACTAAATTGCACTTAGTTTTGATATGATTTGACACCAAAATTGGCACAATTTTTCAAAGAAATTAGGGTAAAACAAATTTTCTTCTTTAATAATCCAGAACAAAATGAATACAAAGATGACACCAAAATTGGCACGATTTTTCAAATAAATTAGGGTAAAACAAATTTTCTTCTTTAATAATCCAGAACAAAATGACTACAAAGATGAGCACCTACAATTTGAGAGGTGAGCAATTTCTCCCAAATCCTACAATTCGAGAGGTAGGAAATCTCTTCCAAACCCTAACCCTAAAACTCCAATACAACAATTCTCATGACACCTAACCCTAAACCTATTAGGGTCTAATTATACTAAGCAATAATAAATAAAAAAGACTAAATTGCCCTTAGACACACAAAAAAAAAATTGCCCTTAGGCTAGGCACCGGTGTGACATAAACCAACTAAAATATGGAACTGAAGTGTCATTCATGAAAAAAATAATACATTATGAAAGCCATCTCTTGAACCTATCAGGGCCACCTTTAAAATTCTATTTGCCAAGTAAATAATTATGGGAGTAGAGAGTAGTAATAATGATGTCAGACCAAAGCGTGCAATAGCCCAATGCTTGAGAATAAATGCTATTACAAATTGTATCCAAATACTACACCAGCCACTATATGGGAACAACGTATCATTCAGAACAAAATGCTACCATATATGTGTTGATTATGGTGACCCAAATTTAGTTTGATCCAACCATGAATCTCGTAGTGCAACAATTTTGGTGAAAGAATAAATAGGGTGTTTTTTTTAGGTTTATAAGGCTAGCAAAGTGATTGGATTGATGGACCCAATCTCATAGCTCATCAATGAGTTCGCTCGAGCGCCGAGCAAATTGACCCAATCTTACTTCAAGTTGTTAGAAATGGTATCAGCGCAATACAACAATTTAAAAATATAAGGATAAAAAATAATAATAATAATAATAATAAGAAAATAAGTTACTCCATAAGAGGCACAACCTTTAGAATCTTATTTTCTTAAAGAATAGTTATGACTAAAGTATATTAACAAGAACATCAGTTGCTTTGAGTGAAAAATTTTATAAAAACTCTTAAATATTGAGGTCATTTAATATAATGATTGAAATTTGATTAAAAATTTCAAAGAGTGCTCATCGGGAGCAACCCTGGAAGCTGAACTCTGGAAAATTGATAAAAACCATAGAGCCATTTGGCAAAAACATAAAATATATCGATGGTTAAGAATTCATGTTGTGGTATCAAAAGCATAACTTGGAAAAAAAATCCCTAAGCACATTAAGACTTAGCAATCATTAAACTCACTTAAACTTATTCATAACCAATGTTGCGAATATAGAAACCGATCCACTGTTCATATTGACATTTTCTTATGTTTGGCAGTCAATTGGATTTGGTATTCGAAATTAATTGCTAAATTAATTGCTCTTAATTCCTTCTATGATTTGCTGCAGAAGAGAAGAAAATAATTAATGAGTTTCATTAATTATTTGATTAATTCCTTATTGGGCCTAATGTCATGATGAAATTAATAAATAAGCATACTAGCTCCCCTTGTGATCTCTTTCGGGGTTTGGTTTCTCAGGCATCTCTCTTTGACATTAGTAGTTTTCCAGGTTCTTCTGGTGTGCTTCAGTTTGAAGCTTTCGGGTAGAGAGAGAGAAGGAGAGGAAAGAGACAAGAGAGAGACAGAGAAATTCTTTCTTGTAATCGTCGAAGCGATCGACGGGTGTATTCCTTGAAGTAATAAAATTTTCTGCAGCTTCGTGAACGCAGGCAAACTGTTGAACCACTTAAATCGTGTGTTTCGCTGTTTTTTGTTTTGCGATTTTTCTCGATTCGATTTTTCACTTTATTATCGTCGTTTTTCACAACAATTGGTATCAGAGCTCAGGTTCGCATCTGAGGGAAAGCGATGATCAGAGATGATGTGATGACATCGGTGATCGAGAAGTTTAATGACACAGATTTTGGTTACTGGAAGATACATATAGAAGACTGTCTCTATGGAAAGAAATTTTATCTTTTGTTGTTGGGAACCGATTGTAAAAAATGGATTCTCTGTCAGAGAGTCAGACTTGGGAGTTGACAGAACTTCCACCAGAGAAGAAGACATTACACAACAAATGTGTGTACCAGGTGAAGACTGTGCTTGGTGGCATTAAGAGGTACAAAGCTAGACTTGTTGAAAAAGACTTTCAATTGAGGCAGGATATTGCCCATGCAATGAGAGTTGTTAGCATATACAAGAGTAAATCAGGAAAGAGTTTGGAGGTACAAGATTATGTTGATGCTGATATATCGACTGAGGGTGTTACTCTTGAGAAGCTGAAGTTGTGCTCGATTTTAGTTGGTCTTCTGGCATGAAGACCAGGGTTTTGAGTTGCAGAGGTGGAGAATGTCACATTTGAAGAAAAGAGCGACACAGCTAGTGGATGATGCCGCCAGTATACAAGTTTCCAAGTGGGAGATTTGTTGTGAATATGAAAGCTGATGCACTGTTCAATTTGGCATTTTCTCACGTTTGATAGCAAATTGGATTTGATACTCAAAATTAATTGCTCATAATTCCTTCAAATGATATGCTGCAACAGAGAAAAGAAAATGATTAATAAGTTTCATTAATTATTTGATTAATTGCTTATTAGGTCTAATGTCATAATGGAATTAATAAATATGCATGCTAGCTCCCCTTGTGATCTCTCTCGGGATTTTGTTTGTCAGGCATCTCTCTTCGGCATTTGTAGTTTTCCAGGTTCTTATTCTGGTGTACTTCGGTTTGAAACTCTGAGTAGAGAGAGAGGCAAGGAGAGGAGAGAGAAGAGAGAGAGAGAATTTTTTTCCTGTAATCGTCGAGGCGATCGACGGGTGTATTCCTCGAAGTAATAAAATCCCCTACAGCTCCGTGGACGCAATCATATTGCCGAACCACATAAATTTGTGTATTTCGATGTTCCCTGCAGCTCCGTGGACGCAATCATATTGCCGAACCACATAAATTTGTGTATTTCGATGTTTTTTATTTTTAATTTTTTCTCGATCCGATTTTTCACTTTATTGCTTCATTTTTCACAACAACCCAAAATTAACATTATAATAAATGGAAGACATGGAATGAGAGAAATTTAACAACGAAAAACAATTTCTCAGAACAAAATAGTACAAATAATCCCAGCCTAGATCAACCAAACCTTAATAGAAGAAACGCCATATGTACCAATATTTGATAGACAAGATAACAAGAAGCAGCAGAGAGAAAAACGCCATTTTTTCCCTTATTCCTTAAATCCAAAACACTTAAAATCATAAACAAAAAAACACTTCATAAAATGAATGCGTAATCAGTTATACCTTAACGCTATCATACCCAGTAAGGTAGAGCAGAGCGTAATGAAGCATGCATCCATGGCCCGCAGAGAGCACGAATCGATCCCGATTAAACCAGTACGGATTCTTAGGGTTGAAATGCATGAACTCGTCGAAAAGGATATGGCCCAACGGAGCACATCCCATGGGGAGCCCCGGGTGGCCGGAGTTAGCCTTCTCCACCGCATCGACGGCCAGGAACCGAATCGTGTTCACGGACTTCTCAAACAGGTCTTGGGTCGCCGGTTTACCCTCCGCTTCCTCAATCACAGCTGATCGAATCGCACCAACCCGCCGAGAACTCACTTTCACCTCGGCTGCTTTAGGGTTAAGCCGGAGGCTGAAGCGGAGGCCGGCTGCAGGGAGGGTGAGGAGATCGAGTTGGGATTGCGCGGCGGCTGCGGGACGGCGGCCGGAGATTGTCGGGGCTAAGTGGGGGTGTAATGCGGTCAAGGAAGAAGAAGCGGCCATGGCTGTACTCTCACCGTCGCACTCAAAGGATGCAGGGAAGGTTGCCGCTTTGGATGGAGAAGGGAGTTGGTGGGTATGACCATTGAGCGAAATTTTCTGTGCCTTCGAAATTGTTGTGTCATCAAAGTGGTGGGGCCTAGTCTTCCAGAGAGCTTACGCGTGGCTTTAAACTAATAAATTTGAATATTTTATGATCGTAAAAAAATGATTATATTCAGTTAAAAAATTATATTTAGCTCGATATGATATACATTTATCAATTTATTGAAAGTTTGGTATTATTAATTAAATTAAATCTCATTCGTCGTTATTTAAAATATGTATCTTATTTGTAAGTTGTACCACTATTGAAGCGTAATAATTGTTCATTTTTTTATTAATTATTGCGTAATTAAAAAAATTTTATCAACTAAAATGTATTTCGAGATATCTTGAAATAAAAAAAATTTTGTTGTGGTATATATGAAATTTAAAACAATCGTCTATGACGAAGCGAAAAATAGAACGAGAAAATTTACACCAGAAAAGAACAACACAACGAAACCACAGTTTTATGTGGCCCGACAAATTGTCAACGTCCACGGAGTTATAGAGGATTTTATTAATTGAGGAATTTACACAGTTTGATCTAGGGATGTCAAAAAAGCTCATTGTTCGCGAACAGTTCGTGTTCGATTCGCCATAGTGTTCGTGTTTGATTCGTTCGATAAGCAAACGAGATGAACACGAACAATTTTTTTTGTTCGGTTTGCTAAACGAACCAAACACAAACAGTGATACGTTCGTTCGTGTTAGAATCGTTATTGTTTGAAATAAAAAAAATTAAATAAATATTTATAAAAAAATTATGATATTTTTAAAATAATTATATATTCAAAAAAATTAATATATTTTAAAATTTAAAACCTGTAAATTATAATGTAAAATAAATTATTAATAATAACACTTTTACATACTATCTAGGCTATAAATATATGAATGAAATGAAAGCGGAAGCCCTAATCCCCGTTCGCTTTTTCACCTCTCACGCGGTCACGCCTGCTCGTCTCACGCGGTCACGCCTGCTCTCGTCTCACGCGTTCACGCCTGCTCTTTCGCTCAAGATCGTGAAAGACTCGCCGCTCTCCCCGAAAGCCCGAGACCGCAGCCGATTTTTCTCCTCCGGCTGCTCCTTCGCTCAAGATCGTGAAAAGCTCGCCGCTCTCCTCTCATGTCGCTCCCCTCTCACGGAAGCACGAGACCGCAACCGATCTATCTCCTCCGGTTGCTTCTTCTCTCAAGATCGAGAACAACCATCTTCTATCAAAATCGCGAAAAGCTTCTCTCGGTGAGAACTTCTCTCAAAATCACAAAAATCTTTGTCTCGGTGAGAGCTTAGAGTTGATTTTTTGTGTTCGTTCTCTAATCTCTACTTCTATTTTTTTTTTTTTATAAAAGGTATTTTTCCCCCGTTAGTCGGCGTTGGATCGACCCGGTATTCTTGCTTCGGTGTTTGTTACTTCGGTTGCTCGGTATTCTTGCTTGGTTGTTCGATATTCTTGTTTGGTTTTCTGTAATATTTCATATTTATCTTCAGGTAATCAAGTCGTCAATCATTGTCTCATTGTTTAGTTTAATTAGACTTTCAAAGCTGTTCCTTCTGATTATAATATTGATGCAGATAAACAGATTGATGAAGTAAAAGAAAAATGTGTCAGGTTTGTGAAATAAATGAGATGAAAAATATACATTATCAAAAGCAAGCTAATAAAGCTTGCACCTTAGTTTCCTTCAAGGAAGGCAACCACTTAATGAGTCATTTATAAAAGGCACATTTGTTTTCTTATTTTTTTTCTAAACTTAAGAGAAGAATTGATAGACTATTTAGAGTCATTAAGCATATGGGGGAAAAAGGCTTATAAAATAGATTTGCTAGAGCATCCGATTATTTTGGGGGGCTTTAATATGATTCCCTTTTCACCCTATTATGAATGTGAAGGGAAACTAAACATCAAGGAGAGTCTTCTCCTACTCG